AATCCGATTTCCATAGGTACAGTATCTTCCTCTCTACCTTTAGGTGCTTCCGGTTGTCTGAGTTTAGTCAAATAAGTGTGGAGCTAGGGTTTAGTCTTGATTGATTCCGTTCGAGGTCTTTTATGTTCTTAGCGAGATTATTCTCCAATTAAGCCTGTTGGGTCTGTTGATCGAACATTGTCGGATCTTTCTTCTTCAAATTTGATTTCTCATCGATTCTGCCTTCTGGGTTTCTTTGTGACCAGAGTTTCAAGTCGTGGGAGCATTTGTTGGAACCTATGGGATTAATTATGGGAGGATTGCCGATAACATCCCCTCTCCGGATAAAGTAGTCTTACTTCTAAAGCAAGCTAAAATTCGGAATGTTCGTATATACGACGCAGACCACACTGTCCTCCAGGCTTTCAGTGGGACTGGTTTAGACCTTGTGGTTGGACTCCCAAATGGCTACTTGAAAGAGATGAGTTCAAACGCTGATCATGCTTTCACTTGGGTCAAAGATAATGTTCAATCTTTCTTGCCCAAGACTCGGATCCGTGGTATCGCAATAGGCAATGAAGTTCTCGGAGGCGGTGACTCTGAGCTTTCCGCCGCCTTACTGGGTGCTGCTAAAAATGTCTACAATGCGTTGAAGAAAATGAATCTGGAGGAAACGGTGCAGATCACCACGGCGCATTCACAGGCCGTGTTCTCTGATTCATACCCACCGTCGTCTTGTGTATTCAAAGAGAATGTCGTTCAGTTCATGAAGCCACTGCTCGAGTTTTTTCATCAGATTGGCTCTCCTTTTTGTTTGAATGCCTACCCTTTCTTGGCCTACACTTATAACCCGACTGAGATCGATATCAACTATGCTCTTTTCAAGCCAACAGAAGGCATCTATGACTCGAAAACCAATCTACGTTATGATAATATGCTTGATGCTCAGATCGATGCCGCCTACATGGCCCTGCAAGATGCTGGGTTCAAGAAGATGGAGGTTATAATTACTGAAACCGGGTGGGCTTCTAAAGGCGATACAGATGAACCTGCAGCAACTGCGGAGAATGCAAGAACCTATAACTATAACCTCAGGAAGAGGCTTGCAAAGAAGAAAGGGACTCCTCTTAGACCAAAAACGGTGCTGAAAGCCTATATCTTTGCTTTATTCAACGAAAACTCAAAACCGGGCAAGAGTTCAGAGAAATACTTTGGACTTTTTAAGCCTGATGGAACCATATCATACGATATTGGATTCAACAGTCTCAAGTCTAATGCTGCCAAGTCACTCTTTTCATCGTCAAAGGTATGAATACTCTGACTGGTTTGGCGATGACCATATCCATTATGTATGATATTTTTCATTGAATCTAAAACCAGACTTTAGATTATATATCCAAGCTAATTGCATAGTGACCATCTTGAGTATCAATCTCTTCTGCGTTTTGTTGCAGGCTGCTGGTTTAGTCATCTCTGTCTCGGTTTTTCTCCTGATGATGTGACTGCGAAAATGGTATGAGCTGAGCTTTGACGGAAGATGTTCGGCCATGCGTTCGTTGCAATATAATATATAATTGCTAGGGGTGAGGCGTATGAAAAATTAGATCACATATCTATTGGAATTCTCATACATCATAGCCAAGAGATATTCGAAATATATAATATCAGAATCTCATATATAATACATCAATTCTTATGTACACAAATCTTGTTGTTACATAAAGTTGAACAAGTTTTATGAAAGTTTAACACCTGTAGAAGTAGAATTATATTATGTAAATTATGATATATAAATTTATCCGTAAGATTTTGAAATGTGTCAGATAATTAAATACTAGGTGACTTCATACACCATGTGCGGGTTCAAATGTATTTTGTAAGAATAAAAATTAGAATTTACTATTGTAAATTTATAATATTGATGTCTAAGTGTGTCTTATATTATGATTGGTGAGTCCTGGTTCAAATGTATTATGAAAATAATCCACGACTATAATTTTTTAATAACAATGTTAAAAATATTAAAAAGAAGGAAAAAAAATTAAGGTGGAAAAAAGCTGAAAATCTATAGAAATGACATACGAGGACATTTCCATGATTCTTAATTTGTTATCTTGATGCTGCAGTTGCTGGACTCTCTATATTGCTCGTAATGGTGAAGACCTCATCATTCATTTCTATTAC